GGTTGATAAATTGTTTTTTTGAAAGAAGTTACTTTATGCTCATTAAGATGTCATACTGTTTGTATTACAATTAAAATAACTGTTATAGTTTAAAATATAGTCAGACATCATTCTAATATGCTTATTTGGTGCTCAAGAAACATGTTGTATTATCAGTGCTACAAACAATTGTGCTGCTGCAAAGAAACTCAAGATTATTTTTAATGAAATATATATAAAGTTCAAAAGAACCGAGTTATGTAGCATTATAATCGTCTTTACTGTCACCTTTGATCAATTTAATAGTAAAAGTTTCTTTCAAAACAATTCCTGACCCCAGATTTTTCAACAGTAGTGCGTTGGACCTAATGGAAATTAGCAGATATTTCAGCAAGATGTTAATGTTAGAAAATATGATGCCTTTCTTTCTTTCTTTCTTTCTTTCTTGTCCTCAAAACACACTGAAAGTAAAGTATCATATGATTCAAACTATCCAAGTTCTGTCAAGAAAACCCAGTATAAACCCGTGAAATTGCTATTTTGGAAGTCATTGCCAAAATAGATCTCCAACGCCTGTGCCTTTGACATGTTACAGCCTCTGTTTTGAGTTGTTTTTGCGTCTGTTAAACTTCCAAGATTTGAGGAAGTCAGAGCCTGACAACACTGTAAACATCCCCAGCCATACACGTACATGCAATAAATGTTGAGAAACCATCAGCAGAGCTCAAAGAGAGGTGTTATATTTCCAAACTATGAAAAAGACATTACAGTTATCAAGTATTTTGCCTAGAGGTGACCACAAGTGAACTCAGAAGTTGTTTATCGGAGAATAAATCTGCCAGAGAAGAGTTTCAGCTCTAATGTTTAAACACAGGTCACCGTGTTCAAGTGGAAAAAGTCAACCTGCTGTCCGTCTAATGGATACTGAAGCAGTTCTCTCGGCTCTGTGAACAGTGGACTTTTAAAGCTAAAACAATCTTTTTTGTGTGTGTTGGAAATGTGTGTGTCAAGGATTTGGGAGAAGAAAAAAAGGCTGTTGGAGAATTATGGCAGGATGGTGCAGGAACTGGAACGATTAAACAAGCCATATCTCTGTCAGAATACTGTCCGCAAGAGATGAAGCAAATCAGAGCAAAAGACTTTATTTAACATTTAGTGTCAGGAACTTGAAAGTGTTTTAAACAGAATGATACAGGGTTATAATAACAGCAGATCTGTTTGCTCTAAGAAGTCCTTCCAATGAGTGGTTAAATGTATCTTTTCTGGTTCTTAACTCCGCTAGATTAATACACCTCACCGCAGGAAATATTTTGACCTGTGAATCCCTCAATATTTAGGGAGCTGATTCTCTGCTATGCTGCACTTACAAAGCATGTGACTTCAGTGAACTAACACAATCTGATATGTGGGTTTTTTAGAGGTGAACTTTAACTTCCCCCTGATTCATACTACCTGGATTTTGACAAACATAATTCCAAAGCATTTCTCAATACCAAGTACGCAGACCTCGGACTTGCGTCCTTGGTAGTTCGGACTTACCAAGTTCATCTCAGGAGAACAAACTCCAGAGGACAAGAGGACGCAAGTCCGGTTATTCTGCAAATGTAACAGTGGCGTTCTTGATCGCGTCCCTCAGTACGCTCTGGATACTCTGGTTATCTCTTTATGTATAACTTAGTCGACAATAAAACAAAATATGCTAAACACCTCTGCCTCTTTTCGTCAGCAATAAAACGAAATATGTTATACAACACCACTCTGCCTCTTTTCATTTTAAAAAAATCTTAAACATAGCCTATTGAATTGTATTGACATTTAACAGAGAAAGGGTTCTGCAATTTTATTTTATTGTACATCTAGTGAAGAGAATGTAATATATATATATGTGTGTGTGTGTATAAATAAATATATATATATATATATATATATAAGTATATACACACACACACAAACACATATGTGTGTATAGATATACATATATAATATATATATATAAAAATGACATATATATTTTAAAGTATGTAAAATAAATTTACTCAACCCTTTTTGTTAAATGTCAGTTTTAATGATCAATAATATCTAGCCTAGAAGGCATAGCAGCTACAAAGAGAAATAAAGCAACAATTTCAGTCAAACATAAGTAAACTCTAATGGGATACAAAGTTAAAGTTGAATATCAAATTATGAAACTTTACTTTGCCCTAAACGATTTTTTGCCATGGAACAAACTAGTTTAATAAAACCAAAGATCGACTTATACACAAGATGAATCATACGTCATGTTTATCCACTAGACTAGAGACATCAGAGTCAGCGGCAAACGTCAGAAGCCAAGGAAAGCCCAGGAAAAGCTGTTCTAGTCGGGTTACTCCACCCAAAAAACCTGTACGAGTTTCTTTCTTCTGCTGAACACAAAAGAATTTATTTGGAAGAACGTTTGGAACTTTGGCACCATTGACTTGCATAGTAATTTTTTTTCACTATAAAAGTCAATGGTGCCAAACAAACAACCGTTTGGTTTCAATCGTTCTTCCAAATATCTTCCTTTGTGTTCAGCAGAAGAAAGAAACTCTTACAGGTTTGCAGCAACTTGAGAGTGAGTAAATGATGACAGAATTTTCTTTTTTGGGTGGAGTATCTCTTTAATGAGCGTTGTGAACACCCGGTGACCGCTCTGGATCTCACAACTCCGAAACCCGCAGATACATTTTTCAAATAGGTGCTATCTTTATAAATAAACCATAGATTTGAGCTTTAAAAATGTACTTTAAAATTACATTTCACGACTCAATAACAGTAGTATTTTGATATTACGCGTGGTTTCTCCTCTGCTATCAACGCTTGCTGATTAGTGCGAGATGCATTCTGGGATACCTGCTGTCTCAAGTCCGCACAAGTCACCTCCCAATGCGTCCTCGGTAAACGGGGCGGATCAAGAACACATCCGGGGATTTGAACTGGACTTGGTTAGATGTGAACTTGTAATTGGAACACTTGGGCGTGACTGATGTCCACAAGAACACAAGTACAGACAAGAACGCATATTGAGAAACTGCCCAAGAGTTTGTCTTTGTTGTTGCTGCTTCTGCTTTAACAACTTTTCAGAGATGCTAGATTTGTGCTGGGTCCAGATCTTGTGTGTAAGGCTCACGCTGCTCTTGACGTTCTTGAGCGTTATGCTGTCATGTGCTGATCTGCCTCTCAAGACTGTTTGGCCTATATCAACAAACCTGAGTTCAAGCGCCTGCAGCAGCCCTCATCCTCCCTCACCCTTGCCTGACCCATAAACAGATCAACCCAAACTTTCTCTCTCGTCTCCCCCTGTCACGTACAGGCTCTGCTGATTTATTTGCACTTCTTTTATAATGACTGGAGGCTCTTCTGTAGTAAGGTAGTTGATGAATAAACTATGTTTCAAGATTTTATGTTGTTGAGACAATTATATTAAATACAACAAAATGAAAGCAACAAGATCAAATGTAACCGTGTGAGCCATACACAAACAACACCTGACAATGATGAAAGGAAATGAGGAACTTAAATAGACATGCAATTAACTAACTACTGGTAATTGATGTCCATAGTAACAAATGACTGGTGCATGGGAAACTAGAACAAAGGGAACGGGTAACTGAAGACAAACAACCAAAAGTCCATGAAAATGAAACTAAAGAGAGCATAACTGTGACAGTGTTATATAAATGTATGGAAAAATGTTGCTTAAAACTGCTTTAGAAGTAAAAAAGCATGTCAGTCACTCCACAGGACTTTTTTAGGAATTAAACTATTTTGATTATTTATTTATAATAATATAAATTTATAATTTGTAATATATATATATATTATTTTATTTATTTATTTTTAATTTATTTTAATTTATTTATTTATTAATGGTACACTCTAAAAATTGCTGGGTTGTTTTAACCCAACTTTGGGTCAAATATGGACAAATCCAGCCATTGGGTTAAATTTTTAAATTACATTTTTAACCCAACGTTTGGATTTGTCCATATTTGACCCAAAGTTGGGTTAAAACAACCCAGCAATTTTTAGAGTGTAATGAATCTTTCTATTGTGTGGAGGCCTAACACAGCAAGATAATAAATGTACTTTACATTTCTGCTTTTAGGTATATCTGAAGTTCATAATGAGGACAGTCAAATCACAGGACAATTACCACATTCACCTGAATAACTAAAAAAAATAAATATATATATATATATAATTTGGGTTAATGGACAAAATATAAGAGGAAAACAAGTAAAGTTGCAGTAAAATGTAATTCGCTCTAAGATTGATTCGCTCTCTTTTTCAGGGGTGAAACATTTTGTCCGCTAGAGGGTAAAGCTGAGTAGCTTTTCCTTATCTGACTCCTCGACATCGTTGTCATTTTGTAATAATCTTGTTCTATTATTACAGACCATCCAAGTTAGTAAATGTAAAGCTTACACTTCAACTTTTTATATTCTGCTCAATTTGTACTAGAAATACTTTTCCTGTCATAATTCTGAACACAACAAAAATGAGAGAATAAAGGACATTTTTAAATTGAAAGTTGAGTTCAGAATGTTGAGCCGCTGTGTGTACATACCACCTCCCTCAATGTATTGGATTTAGTGACACAGTGTCATTATTTCGCTGCAGGCAAGGCTCAGTTAGTGTTGCATTTGGAAACAGGCCAGTGATGTGTCAGACTCAGGTTAATACTTTTAGTACGCTTGAAGATGGTAAAGCAGCAAGTTTCACATGTTGAGGCTCAGGACACTCTATTTATCACAAACCGACCCCTGAAAAAATACCTTATATACACATGCTCTCTCTCTTTCTCTCTCTCTCTCTCTCTCTCTCTCTCTCTCTCTCTCTCTCTCTCTCTCTCTCTCTCTCTCTCTCTCTCTCTCTCTATCAAAGGATGTCTCTCTCTCTCTCTCTCTCTCTCTCTCTCTCTCTCTCTCTCTCTCTCTCTCTCTCTCTCTCTCTCTCTCTCTCTCTCTCTCTCTCAAAGGCTGGTTGTTTCAGGCCAGAGTTTAGTTTCAGGGCTTTGGATTCAGAGAATGGCACCAGGAGGCTGGATGGGACGGCACACTCTATGGAGCATCTCATGGGATTATGAGCCACAGATTTTCAGACTTTTATGCAACTAATGAAATATCAGCAAATACCTTTTGATGTTTAGGAACATTTTTTTTTTTCTGGGCTAATTTTCCCTCCGTTATTCTCTACTTTTAAGGACTTTGTGGAATCAAGCAGGTCGAAACCAGGAGTATTGCTTTTTCCTAAAGACTTTCACCTGGGACTGTGGAGGCTATGGTAGGCCTTTATGCAGGCGATATATAGTGGCCTATTTAAATTGTCAAGTTTGAGTGCCCAGCTGAACTGTCGTCCGTGTTACATTCAGGGAAACAACTGAAACACTTTCGCTCTGCTGAGTTTTTGTTTAGTACATGGCTTCAAGATCGTCAGAGCATTATGTTTCTCAGCGGATGGAGACTCTGGGCACATAGTGGACATGAGATCGAGATAAGACATCATCTGAGGTGTTGCTTTTAGTTGTCACGCTCTTGCTGTCTAAAATTGGAAACACTTTCCCAAGTTGTAACTTTAGTATTCAAAACTCTCACAATGAACAAAGATCTTCGTCTTCCCAGGAAGACAATGCAGATGAACTACTCGACGCGACGGCACTCATGCATTGGGTATGTATAAGCAACAGAAGCAACAATGATGGTGTCTTCACCTTCAGTTGAGTCGGTCATATGCTAATCTCATTTTTAAGCTTCAATTTGAAAATTTCATTGATTATATAATGACCTTGGTTGAACTCTGCTAAGTGCACATGTTGTCACATGATGTAAATATCATTTTTGCTGTGTTGATAACATTTGGAAATGAGATTTGCTCTTTGTGTGAATATGGCGTTTTGAATATGGCTCTTTCAAATGACATTTGCTCTTTGTGTGGCGTTTTTCCAATGCTGCAGCCCTGACAGGTTTTTTTTGTGTAAGAAATCTTGAAGCAAACCAGTGCTCTCATCTCCACTGAATTTCCGACACCACTAACACCAACTCTGAAATGACGAGTGCACCGTCTAGTGGAGTAACTTAAATTTCCCTCTTTTTCTGCTGTAGTATGACAGTGTAAAAGCAGGCAGAGAGCAGTGCTAGCTGTGATGTGTTGCTGCTATATCTGTGGCCTGGACAGCCTGAGGCCAGTAGAGGTAGAGAATCGATGGCTCAGCCACTGTCTGTTGATGTTCGCCTGTGGCAGCCAGGCAGAGTCACGATGGGCAGACACATCGCAACCTTACACACACAGTAACCTCTGTGCTATCCAGCATGCCTGACATTATCTAATGTAAATGATGGGTGAATTATGCTTTTGTACTCTAAATGTGACATTTATGTCGAGTTTGCATTGTTTCAAACGATCAAATTCAAACATCCATACATTTTGATGAATGTTGAGACATTTTCTGTTCTTTGGAGAATATTATGACAGAGGTACTTGATAGTTTCCCTGGACTGATCATTTTAAATCAGTAGGGATGCACCAATTTGGACATTTTGAACATTACCAGCAACTTATGTTTTGAAGCTGATAATAGATCTGTTGGCCAGTAGTAGATATCAATCTACATTGATTAAGCGTTCTTCAAACAAACTGAAGAAATTACCATTCAAATGTATGGGGTCAGTAAGATTTTTTTTAAGAAAAATACTTATATTTAGCAAGGATGCATTCAATTGATCAAAAGTCTCAGCAAAGACTTTTACATTACTTTTTATTTATCAAAAAATCTTTTTTTTCACATTTTTACCACAAAAATACTAAGCAGGACAACTGTTTTCAACATTGATAATAACAAATGTTTTTGAACACCACATCTGTATATTTCTGAAGGATCATGTGATACTGAAATTAAATTTTAAAATATCATGTGATCATAATCATTTGGCTATAATTTATCAGCCTAAATATTTTGGCCTATTTTACTAATCACACTTTAATCAACATTAATAAGTCATGTTTATTGTCGTTTTGAGATATTGTTCATCCCTAGATAAAGATTACAATCGAGACACCAGTGAACCCGGCCGATATTTGCAGTGATTTTATTGGCAAGTCTGAGCTGAATTTATCTCTTGTAAAGTAAATTCATTTGAGCCTCTTTAAAACACTGCCGCTCTTCAATCTATGGCTATCTAAAGGACCTGTCACAACTCCGCACAGCATATCACAATGTTTCACTGTTCACAAGAGGCTTTTCACTCAGAGACAACACTCTTACTCTCCATGTGACTCAGACAAAGCTGCGATTTGTTTCCTAGAAGATGCGTCTCACCACAATAACCATTTAAAGCAGGGCAAGCAGTGTTGTAGAGCATCAACATCAACATTTATGATCATTTCTTAGTTCTGTCCTACATGTAGTGTTGTAGACCATCAACTAAGAGCTAGACACATCCATTTTGTGATAGCAGGTGGTATAATATATAGAAGGAATCTTACTTTTTGTTAAACAAAACACTTGAATATGGAGTCGTTGAGAACACTACAATAGTTAAAGCAGCACTTTGCAAGATTTCTGTTTTTGTCGAACTGTGACCCCTAGAGTTGCTGTGGAGTACTTGTACTTTTGTAAATAGCATTCACGCAGAGATGTCTCTGCACTCACGGCCTGATCCCCTTACCCCTGTACACCGCTACCTGTTCAGTAGGATGGAAGCTGTAACGAGTGGAAATAAGGTGTGGTCCCTTTAAGAGCTGCGCCCTGTTGAACTGTATGGGCCTCGAACACTGCATGTATACGGCACCAAGTCATTTCTGTTTGATGTTTATTTTATCAGATATTTCTTGCCATAAAGTAATTTGTTACATCGCGAGACCTGATATCACGCGACACTTCCTGATGTGACCACTTGCAATCACACTTGCAACCACACAAAGTTGCAAGTGTGTTTTTTCCGTTCACAGGCAACAGAGGGGGAGGGGGTGCGAGACGCACAACATTCAACCCGAAAATAGTCCATATAACCATTGCAATAACTCTGAAGCTATTCAGTTAAGGTTAAAGGGATACTCCACTTTTTTTTTTGAAATAGGCTCATTTTACAACTCCCCCAAAGTTAAACAGTTGAGTTTTACCGTTTTCGAATCCATTCAGCCGATTTTCTGATATTTAGAAGAATATCAGTAACCAGACTGTTCTGGTCTCATTCACTACCATAGTTGGAAAAAATATATACTATGGTAGTCATTGAGACCAGAAACTGCCTGGTTACTAATATTCCAACATGACATCATGACTTTTGCGTAAACATACACGCCAGCTTTGAGTCAAGTGGCGTGTTATGTCTACGCATTTTGAGCTATCCGCGTGTATGCGTGTATGTCTACGCCATTAAAGTCCGCGTCATTCCGCGTGTCTGTACACGCCGTCAAATGTCCGAGCGAAACGAAGTAAAATCTACATCTACATCTGGGGAGCTATCTTTTTTTTCCCTTGGATGGTAAGGGAACAGTCATAAATGCCATTAACCCCAGTGACGGTTAGGTTTAAAGACAGGGTTGAGGTAAGTCATATATTTATATACAGTAATAACGTTAAGTCAACGGCGTTCATAAACACGCTGAAAAGCGATTATGCGTGTTGATAGCACGCCAAAAATGGAAATATGAATTGGCGTGTCATACTCACGCTGCTTCATGAGATCAGTCTGGATATTCTTCTAAATATCAGAAAATCAGCTGAATGGATTCGAAAACGGTAAAACTCAACTGTTTAACTTTGGGGGAGTTGTAAAATGAGCCTATTTCCAAAAAAGTGGAGTATCCCTTTAAGAAAAACTGCATAGAGCTGCATCAAATGAATTAACTTGCACTGTAAAAATGAATATGCTTTATCTAATCAATAAAATTGTGGCAACAGATTACAAGCAATATTATTTATTAAATTGAACAAATTAGAATTGAGTAATAATTAATCAAATTAATATTCTAATTAATTCTAATTTGTACAATTTAATTAATAATATTGCTTATAATATGTTGCCACAATTTTATTAAAAAGATAAATCATATAATTTTTTTCAGTGTGTAACAATTACTTCAGGACAGGCTTTTCAGCGACTCTTTGTGCAGATTACATCAGTTACCTTGTTATGCCAGTAGTTCCGAGGCAGGTGTCTGTCTTTGAATCATTTATTAGTCGAATCATTATTTCAACCGATTCATTTAAAACACTTAGGACTGAGCGCGATGACTTGAGTACTGCTTGATGAGAAACGACTCTGCTGTGCTTTCATTTGGAGCTGTTTTTGTTGCCGGAGCAGGTACTACATATTAGCTTTGTTACTGAGCTTTTGTATGAAAGCAAAATTGGATTGTGACTTTGTGAAAAAGGTATTTTCACAGAACTTTCTTTTCACTTAGTTTAAAGGGATAGTTCACACAGAATGAACATTCGGTCATTAATTACTTATGCTCATATTGTTTCAAACCTGTAAGACTTTCGTACATCTTCAAGACACAAATGAAGATATTTGTGATGAAATTTGAGAGCTTTTTGGCCCTCTACTGACACTTTGATGCTTCAATACATGAAGAGATTGTAAAACTAATTGGGCAGTTAAGTCCAAATTTTTCTGAAGAGGCATGCTTGCTTTATGTGATTACCAGATCGAATTTAGGCTTTTACAAAGCTTTAGACATTCACAAAATGCGAGATGCCGGACAGAATGGAACAACATTAAAGGCTAGCGACACATTTTTTAATAATCAAACTTCTTTTAACTTGAACGGAGTGAAATATGCGAGGTGCGAGTCAGTGGACATAGGAGGGATAAAACTATAGTTGTCCTAAATGAAACACTATCCACTATGCATGCACTGTGTGTAGTGGATGAATTTTATATGATTATTTTGTCATTCAATCTGACAGTCCCTTCAGGACTAAAGCTGTGTTACGTTAACATAATTAAAGCTGTGACAGTTGAGTGCATAAAGTGTCCAACATTCCACACTTCATTTTTTTCGGTGCATCATCCGGGCATTTAAAGTGCACTTTTTATTTATTTTTTTTTATTCTCACACTATTTATAATAATAATAATAATTTGTTGCATTTATATAGCACTTTTCTGGGTACTCAAAGCGCTTTCACTGGAAAGGGGAATCTCCTCATTTATACTACAAAACTGCATTGAATTGTGCACAAGTACATGAATTTCTATAAACAAAACACATTCTTTGTGAATGGTCCTAAGAAGAACATCGCTGCCTGATAATGCTAAACCAAGCTAAAAATCATAATGACTAATAATATTGAGTTTGCATCACATTTTCTAAAGTATTGGTGGTTGCAGCTTCTTAATTTTCCTGGTTCAGCCCAGAACTTAGACATCCCATCATACTATATTAGAGTAGAAACTTGTTGAGGTGTTTTCCGAATCCGAACAGATGTCGAAAGAGAAAGTCAAGTAAGGTGAACCAATCACAGGACAACAGTGTCAGTAACCAGCAGTCCCAAAAATAAAACCTCAGAGCTCAGAATAGTCAATAGGCGCTGATGCTGTGACTGGAGTCGCTGTGCGTCACTGTTCTGCTCCATATTTTCAGCATGGCTGCTTTCCCCAATGACTCTCACCACTCATTGATCTGTCAGCCTTTCTCACTAATGCCGGAAACCCTGCCAACCC